AGTGATGCACGGTCGTGCTTTGATCACTGTCATAGGCGTGCTTGTATAAGCACGGTCGTGCTCATCAGTAAGCACAGGTGTGCTTCTCAACAAGCATGAGCGTGCATGTGCCTGTGTTCTACGATTCTTGTAATTTCTTTCCACTTCTAAGGGTGATGGCATTGCATTACTCCCTTGAATTAGGTTATGGCTGAGATGGCAGTGTTCCAATCACTCTTTGACTCAAGAGGTTCGTAATTTGCTCTAATTGTGCACTCATCTTAGAAGAGTTGACTTGTATTTCAGATTTAACCTCTGCGAACCTCTTATCGGTTCTCTTAATATGTTGGTCTAACTTGGATTCAAGCTTTGTCATCCTTTTATCAGAGTAATGCACATATTCAATCATCTGTTCTTGAAAGTTGGACTGAGATCTATGAGCTTCTTTTCCCTCAGGTCTTACTCCCCGACTTTGCATATGAGGAGGGCGATAAACACTTGAATTTTGACTTCCAAAGCCATTCCCGCAAGAGTTAGGAGGATTACTCCTCCACCCTGAACTGTGATTGCCCATGAAATTTACCTCCTCTTGCTTAGATTCCGGGCTTGTAGGAGCTCTTACAAGTTGGTCTTGAGCCTTCATTAAAGATTTTAGTTGCTTTATAAGGGCTGTCATTTGGTTTATTAGTGGGTTGTTGCTCTTTGCTTGGTAAATTGGGGCAGTCTCTTTTCTCTTGATGTCATAAGAGTTAGCAGTGTGCCACTCAAAGTTAGAAGATGTCATCTCATCTATCAGCTTGTATGCATCATCTAGATCTTTTCTTATGAGGGACTCTCCTGTTGCGGCATCAATTGTAGCCCTAATAGTGATTGATAGGCCACTGTAAAAAATTTGTACCTGTCTCCACGTCAAAAAATCATGATGAGGACATCTCCTCAAAAGCTCTCTAAATCACTCTCATGCTTCGAATAAGGATTCTGATTCATATTGTTGAAAGCAACATATCTCCGTCATAAGCTTAAAGGACCTTGATGGGGAAAAGTACTTTCCCAAGAATTGTTGAGTGAGATCCTCCCAAGTTCTGATGGAGTTGGCTGAGAGTGAGAAAAACCATGCATTCACCCTTTCAGATACTGAGAAAGGGAAAAGATGAAGTCGAATAGCATCGTTGGAGACTCCATTGTATTTTATGGTATCTGTCAATCGGAGAAACTTTGTCAGATGTAAATTGGGATCTTAAGTAGGCATGCCTCCAAACTGTATGGAGTTCTGGACTATGGTTATGAGTGCTGGTTTCAATTCAAAATTGTTGGCCTCCACATTTGGTGCTGCGATGCTTCCAGGGGTGGCTCTAGCAGTGGGTGTCATGTAATCTTGAATTGATCTCCTTCCCTCTGTCATTCTTTGCTTTCTCACTTCTTTTCTTTGTCTACGCGTTGTTCTTTCAATCTCCGGATCAAATAAATAAGCTGTAGAGCACTTAGAACTAGTGAGCATACATTAAAAGAAATTGTAAAATAAATAATAAAAAAATTAAAATAAAATAAATACAAAAATTATAAATTATAAAAGAAAAAAAATTTAATAATAAAAAAATAGAATTAAAATAAAATAAAACACAAATTGCTTAAATCAATTAAATTTGAGATTTTCTTAATATTGAAAAAGCAATCCCCGGCAACAGCGCCAAAAACTTATTCGGAGGACAAGTGTACCCATCGAGAAGTAATAAAGAGTTTTTAAATTAAGTTCCCGAAATATCGTTCCACAAGGATTGATTTTCAATTATTAAGAATTTTTCAATTCAATTGTTTAAGCTTCAAAGATATGATATTAATTAAAAATAAGAATTTATAAAATCAATTATAAAACTAAGAGAAAGGAATACAATGCACGTCGTGATTAAACTTATCGGAAAGGAATTTAGGACATATGAGTTTTCTCATTCAATCCTTTATGTTATTTCTCTATTTAACTCTAAATTTGATTTCCTTGTGGTTACCAATCATTCATACGAATACTATTAATACCCAATAGTCATGCAATATTAATATTCTTTTCTACATCAATTTAAGAAAGCTTAAGGAACCTTGGTCCACCTAATCCTTTGTCTCGTTTTACCCTATAGATCTATTAATTAACCGAGGTACGGTCGCCTGATGATATAATTAATTAGGATTAAGAAAAAAGCGCAATAGGATAAAATCTAATCACAAAACAGAAATCAAATTTAAATTCAAATATCAAAATTCCATAAATTCATGAACAATAGTTCCCATAGCCCTAGCTATGGACTTAGTTACTCATGCTAAAGAAAAGAACTAAAACAATCATAAACAAAGCCATAATCAAAAGAAATAGTAAAGTAGAGTGTGAGATATGTTCCCGGTCTTCAAGTACGATCGCTTAAAACTCCAAGTCTTGCCAAACATGTGTCAAAGATCCCGTGCAAGAGAGACGAGATCAGATGTATTCTAGAGCCAAAGCCAAGATGTAAAAAAACGGTTCCTTTACGATGCCTGAGATCTTCTCTTTTATAAGATTTGAAAACCCTAAAAACTCTTCATAATTGGGCTTCCCACAGATGAGCACGGCCGTTCAAGGCTTTAAGCACGACCGTGCATGGGATCGAAGTACCCCGTGCTTATTGAATGGGTCTGCGCGTGCTGACTGCTGCGAAGCTCTAATCTTCCATCAATTTGGGCTTAGAATGCACCCAAAATCCACTTGCGGCCTTTTTATACCAAACTGCACAATTAATATATAAATTAGTGTAAAACTCAAATTAAATAAAGGTCAAATATGAATATATAGGCTGTAAAAGAGGACATAATTACAGACTTATCAGCGTTCAATTACAAACAGCAAAGAAAAATGCTGCCTAATAAAAAAAATCAATTATTTTGTAGACTTACAATTAATTCCCAATATATAAATCAAAATATAGATATTATGCATAAAAATATGATATCAAATCAAATATTTTACTTATTAATATAATTATTTATTATATTATATTCTTAAAATTATATATTTTTAATTTTTAAAAAATATTTAAATCAGATTCATTGAATATTAATCTCTTTTTGTAGAACTAGGTAATGTATCAGAGAGATAGACAAAAAATATATCTGAAAGTAAAAATAAAATCTCAAATTCACCAGATCTGCGTTAAAATGGTTAGAAAATATATATATATATATATATATATATATATTTTAATAGTAATATAATATTTTAATGTGTTTATAGTAAAGTTATATTTATATATCTTTAAAATAATTACAAACCTAATAATAATACATTTTTTTTACTTATTTTTAATTCAATCTACATGTTTTTTTTATATAGTATTTTAAATTTATTTTTTAAAGTTTATTTAAATTAATATTTATTCTTTTAATAAATTTTTAAAAATATTATTTTATCATTAAATTACTTTATAGATATATTTATTTTTATTGATTCTTAATTAAAATGATAAATAATAAATAATAAAAAATTATATTAAATTTTTTCAAAAATTAAAGAAAAATTACATAAAAATATTAATAAATTTATTATTTTAATTTTATGACCTAAACAACATAATTTTATTATACTTAATTATTAAATAAATTTTATTTATTTATAATGTCAATCAATATTAATTTTGTTAAATTTTAAAAAATATAGAATAATTTAATCATTTTAAAAAAAGTCAATTCTATATTTTTTTTTTATCAAAAAGTAAACTTTTAATTCAAAATATATATTATATTATTATTAATTTTTATTTACAATAATTTTGTGTAGTAATTTTATTTATATATAAAAAATTTAATATATTTTTTATTTTTAAATATTAACATATATTTTTGTATATATTAATTTTAAAAGCAATTTTTTAAAATTTTATACATTAGTTAAACAAATATAAATGTATTTTTGTATATATTAGTATGATAAGTTATTTTAAAAAAATGTGATATCATGCTTTAATAATTATATAGTAAAATTTTATTAATAATTTTAAATTATAATTATAAATAAATAGTTTATCATATAATTTAATTCAGTAAATATAAAAAAATATATAAATAAAAAATTACAAGATCTTTTATTTAAATTTTATAACTTATATTATAAAATTTATTATATTTATAATTATTTATTAAAAATTTTATAATAATGAATGATTTATGATATTTATGAAACAATATAAATTTTATTTTATATTTTAAAAATAAAATTTTTTGTGCTATCTTTTTATATTAAAAAAATTCTAAATTATACATATTTTAAATAATTTTAAATAATAATTTATTTTAACAAATAATTTTTTTACTATATTTATATATTTTTATATTTAAATTATATATTTTATATTTTAAAATAAATTATTTTAATAAAAATAAAATAAATTCATGTAATGCACAAATATATTTATTGGTCTAAATATATTTAAAAATAACAAATTAATTTTAAATTTGTTAATAAATCACAACAATCATAAAAGAATTTAGCGAAAAAATAATTTATATTGCGATACATTTGCAATAAATACTAGAGATATTTACATAACTAATATTGTTCAATAAAAGATATATTATGAAGATGAATATTCATATAAAATTTTTAGTTTTATTTTTAATTTTCTTTCTGTTCTCATATTTAAAAAATAATGAATAAATTATACAAAAGAATATTAGCAAATGTACGAAGAACATTCGTGAATTTCCCAGCAATGATTGTTCGCTTCATAACCATATTATGATATCCATCTTCTTTGGATCGGAGCGGGTTATAGCCAAACTTAAATAAACACTTCTATATTTAATGTCTCAAGTGCTTTTTGCCATTCTATCTCGTGTTCATTTCTTTTTGGGTGTAGGACCCCTTTTTGTTACAAAAAGGAAACAATTAAAACATATTTTTGGTCAACCTGAAAAAATTGAAGTTCACAGATGGGCCTAAATCCATGAGGCCCATGAACAGCTTTCGTACCTTTATTAAACCCTGAAACCCTAGACTTGTAATGCATTTCCACCAGCAGCGCAGCCACTCTCCATTCTCCACTCGTCTCCGATCTGCTTCTGTGGAGGTAACCCTTTCCACGTCAATTGAAGTTTCATGGAATCTATGAAGATTTTATTTGAGCATTTTGTTTTTGTTATTTCGTGAATTTGATTTGCATTGTATTCCTTAATTATCTGATTTACAGTGTGAAAATGTCGCTTGGACCGACTGCTTGCTCGTACGCAGCTATCATCCTTCATGACGATGACATCCCCGTCACTGTATCCTTTTTCTTCTTTGTGTATTTAGGTTTTGCATTAATTTGGGAGTGCATGTTCGAAATGATTTCTTAGTTTCAGCTTATGCATTTTTTTGTTGCCTTAGGTTTCGAATCAATTAAAGTACTGGGTAAGTGGGATTGAAACAAAAGTTTGTTTGAGTCTGTAACATGATGTTGTTGGGAAAAGGTATGTTTAATATAACCATTGTTTCTTGTTGGAACTTGTTTGGAATCCATTTAAATATCGAGAAAGGGGGATTGAATTTGGCTTTTTTTTTTCTTGGGATACTGATAGGGACTCTACGACTTATCATCAATAATTTTAATTGTCTGAATACGATGTGTTGCTCCTTAAGTTGTTGTAAATAGTCCGATAAAATCGTAGCCTTGTTGAAGAGGGCAAATGTTGAAGTAGAATCATATTGGCCCAGCTTGTTTGCTAAATTTGCTGAAAAGCGAAGTATTGGTGAATTGATAGCCAATGCCGGAGGCGGTGGGGCCCCAGTTGCAGTTGTAGCCGCCCCAGCTGCTGCTGCAGGTGGTGGTGGTGGTGCCGCCGCCGCTCCTGCTGCTGAGGAGAAGAAGGTAACTCTTTAATGGAAAGTTTGTCTTGCTGTTGATGAACTGTTTCTTGCGCTTTTTTGCTGATCTCTATCTGATTGTTGCAATTTTACAGGAAGAGCCCCAAGAAGAGAGTGATGACGATATGGGATTCAGTCTCTTCGATTAGGGATTCTCTCAACATGATCTGGTCAAATTTTGTTGTTCTGAGTTATTTATGGATATTTTAGGTTTTCTTTTTCTGTTGGTTATTTACATTTGTATACGTCTTGACTTTGTAGTGTCATGAACTTTGGTATGTGGGTTTATGTCCATTTTGAGAATTCAGACAAGAGAAATGTTAATGTTATTCTGTTTCTTCAATTTTCTTTTTGTCCACTATTGTTGTCTAAGTCTCGCACCCAATTTATGTCTTCAAATCGGTGATGAACAAATTTTGATAGTTGGTTCTGACACCTAATTAATCTTGATCGGTTTGCAAGCAGTATTAATTATAGGAGCACGTATATTAAAAACTTGTTCTGATTTCTGATTGAACGCCCTCTAATATCAAATTAAATAGGTGAATGGCATTTGGTGCTTGATTTAGAAAAATTCAGTGGCGTGGGTTCCCTGTACTGAATTTAACCCTTGTCCATTGTTGCTAATAGACACAAATATAAAAGGAGCGTAGAGATACTCGATGTTGTCTAATTCTGTTATATGTTCATCTTTCTGTCCTATCTGAGCCATGTCTGCGGCGCTCAGATTTGAAACCATTCTGATAGGACGAAACAGTGGCTTGTAAGCAGAAAGTCCAGGAATGGCAAAGGCCCTTTGTTTGAATGCCCACTAACTTAATATTTTTCTTGTGCACACAACATGGATGGAATAGTTACTTGCTAATTGAATAATCTTTCTCAATTTTCGATGAATTTCTAGAATCAGCTAATGTATTCATTCAGGAGAACATTGAAATTAAGTTAGTTTTATATTATTACTTCCTAAAGTACTATATTAAGATATGAGAATGACAAGAGTTTTTTTTACGCGAAATTAGTTTTTAAGTAATTATTTTAGCTTAAATGAATTTTGTCTTTTTTCTTAATCTTTCTTTATTCTTTTTATGAAATAATATAATTTATTGTTATAATTATTTATTTAACATTTTATAATGATGAATGATCTATGATATTATGAAATAATATAAATTTTATTTTTATATTTTAAAAATAAATTATTTTATGTTATCTGTTTGTTAGGAAATACTAAATTATATGTATTTAAAAAAAATATTTTATGCTATTTTTATTAAAAAGTAAACTTTTAATTCAAAATATATATCATATTATTATTAATTTTTATTTATAATAATCTTGTATGGTAATTTTATTTATATTAAATAATTTAATATATTTTTATTTTTAAATATTAACTTTTGTATATATTAATATTGAAAGCAGATTTTTAAAATTTTATACATTAATAAAATAAATACAACTTTATTTTTGTATATATTAGTCCGATAATTTATTTTTAAAAAATATGATATCATGCTTTAATAATTATATAGTAAAATTTTATTAATAATTTTAAATTATAGTTATAAATAAATAGTTTATCATATAAATTTAATTTAATAAATATAAACAAATACATAAATAAATATTGTAAATAAATTGTCTGAGTAAGATAACAAAGGTGGTAGGCATAGGCTTACCAAGAATATGAAACAATATCGGTGTCATACGGGCATCAACGTTCTTCATTCATTTGACACATGCATTAGAGCTTAAACATTGGTCCCGTCAATGACCGAGTCCTACATTGTATGGGATTTGGGAGGGCTCGAGGTCAGTTACTGCTTGGAAATGCAGAGAACATATCTTGTAGAAAATGTGTTTGTGAAATGCTGAAAGCTGTTAAAAAGAATTCCATAACTTATTTGGGATCAGAAAGTGAAGGTTGCAAAGTTTGTTAAATTAGAATGAAAGTAAGTATGGGGAAAATGGTCTCTTGACAGTGCAGCCGTAGGTCTGGCATAACTGGATGATACGGTATCGGATCTTCCACCTATGCAAATTAGCTAGAACTCTGTATGATATCTCTCTCGTTTTGTTTATTTGCTTCTTAGTAATTATTCATTGACGAGACTAGTTAAACTTGGCATGGACTCTATAAGACGATCATGCATTAATTATGCTAACATAGTTTCAGTTTTATCTTGATTCTCTTCTCTAGCCTCTCTTGCATTTGGGATGCGATGCTTTACATATTTAAAGAGGATGAAATTTTTCTAATAAGCTTGAAAGAAAGAAATGCATTCTACAAGTTTAATAATGAATAACTAAACAAACAAAATTATTCTTACATTGAATAAATTGTCTATGAATAACTTTTAAGGAATACGTGAGGTCAACTTAAAAATGTTATTATTGAAAAGGTAGACATTCTTGTGTGTGTGTGTGTGCAAATTATTTGCAATTCTTTTTCTTTGTATACAATGTGTTTTTTTTTTCGTTTTCAAATATGTACATATATAAAAAAATTACAAAACAAAATATAGGGCCCAACCGGGTTCGAACCGGTGACCTCTTGATCTGCAGTCAAATGCTCTACCACTGAGCTATGGACCCAATTTATCAGGAGCAAGATAAATAAAGTATTCAAACGATAACAGAGAAGACATCGTTGGCGCAGTTTGATCTTTGATGGGTAAAATTATATTATCGTCTTCCTTTTGTATCTGTCCTCTCGCTACCAATCCAACTTCTATTGTTGTTTATAATTAATTAAAATATTTCTAATTTTAGTAAATGAAATTATATTTTAAACAATCATTCTATCAATTTTAAAACCTTACTTAGTATTCATTTTATTTTCTGAATTCTGAAAGTCGATAGTAAACATTTAAAATTAATTATCAACAAGTTTAAAAGTAAATTTTTTTAAACTAAATCATAATATCAAAATAATTTAATTATAACATGTATTATTCTACCTAAGAGGAGGGTCTACTTGAGGAGAGAACAATCTAATTCAACCATATATTAAAGAAGAATATACTTAGATTTTTTTTTCCTAACTTTCTATTGCTTCCCATTTATTTTTTTTCACCCATTTTTACTCCATCCAAACAATGCCTTAAGAATTTTGTAGAGGTGTGAGATTATGTGCTGGTTGGATTGGTTAAACAATAATTTGAATGCAATATATATAAGAAGAGAAGTAGTAGTATTTGTAGGAAAAGTTGGTTGTTTATTGGTGGCCTCCCTCTCTTGTCTCTCCGCTCGTTGCATAAGTGGAAAGGTAGGTAGGTGAAAGAGTGAAAGGGCATCGATTGCATTGTGTTGTATTATACATCAATCATCATATCAAAAATTAAATAGCCGAAGAAGAAGAAGACGAAGACGGCGATCTCCACGTACCTCACATTTTTCACTCTTCATTTCCTGAAAGTGCAAAGCCTCTCTGTTTTTGTTTCTCTCTTCCCTTTTTCATTCACAGCACAAAAATGTCTTTCTCCGCATCCAACTTTGCTCGGCCTCTTCCTCTCCATCTCAGATCCAATGACAAACACATCTCTTTCCACCCATTCACTCCCTTCCTTGGATCCGCTCCCAAGCTTCGCTTCATTGCCCCCATTAAGCTTAATGCTCGCTTTCCTTCCTCTGTTTTCTCTGTCTCCAATGTTGTCAAGGACAAGAAGGTCAAATCAGCTGCCAATCTGGTACCCCTTTTACGTTTCTTTTTGTTTTCATAATAATATTTCCCTTTCAACAAATCACTATCACGAAGAAAAGTTGTTTGTTGGTTAAGCATGGCATCGATCCTGCATAATGGGTTTCTGGAAAATAAATAATAAAAAAATCAACTTTCCGCTTAATTCAACGCATCCAATCAATTTATAAGCTGCGTGATTCAATAATTTCTTTCAAATTTGTAGATACTTCCCATTCTGATGATATAGGTTTTTGTGAGAAACTTAAGAAAAGAAGAGATCTTCTTATGCTACCAGCCCAATTAGCTTCAGATTCTTGATAGTATGTGCTGCTGTTGCTACCTATGTTTGTGGCTGTGGTTTGGAAATGAGTGTTTGAGATTGTTGTTTTTATTTGGATTTGTGTGTGCAGCTTATTACGAAAGAAGAAGGCTTGGTGCTCTATGAAGACATGATATTAGGTAGGGCCTTTGAAGACATGTGTGCCCAGATGTATTATAGAGGCAAAATGTTTGGTTTTGTTCACTTGTACAATGGCCAAGAAGCTGTGTCAACTGGGTTCATCAAGCTTCTCAAGAAAGAAGACTCTGTAGTGAGCACCTACCGGGACCATGTTCATGCACTGAGTAAGGGGGTTCCTGCGCGTGCTGTAATGAGTGAGCTCTTTGGGAAGGCCACAGGATGCTGCAGAGGTCAAGGTGGATCCATGCATATGTTCTCAAAGGAGCATAATTTGATTGGTGGGTTTGCTTTCATTGCTGAAGGGATCCCTGTGGCCACTGGAGCAGCATTTTCCAGCAAGTATAAAAGGGAGGTGTTGAAAGAGGCAGGTGCTGATTACGTAACATTGGCATTTTTCGGAGATGGAACATGTAACAATGGACAGTTCTTTGAATGCCTAAATATGGCAGCTTTGTGGAAATTGCCAATTGTGTTTGTGGTGGAAAATAATTTGTGGGCTATTGGCATGTCACATCTCAGGGCAACTTCAGATCCTCAGATATGGAAGAAAGGGCCTGCATTTGGAATGCCGGGGGTTCATGTTGATGGGATGGATGTTTTGAAGGTCAGAGAGGTGGCAAAGGAAGCCATTGAAAGAGCCAGACGAGGAGAGGGACCAACTTTAGTAGAATGTGAGACCTATAGATTCAGAGGACATTCATTGGCTGATCCCGATGAGCTTCGTGACCCTGGTGAGCATCTACATTAGCTTTCTTAACCTAGAATTTACTTCAACTGTACTGTTAATTTTGAAGTAAATTATTTTAATGTTCCTTTGAATTTCTGATGGTATCTTCAGTGGTACTATACATGATCCTCATTCGATAATTCTGCTGTGTAGCTTACCATGCTTTAACTTCCTAGAAATTTAATTTAGAGCACTTTCTCTGGATGTTAGATGTTGACAATGTTTAACATTAAGAATAAGATCATGGATTTGGATCATTGACATTGAACTTGAAGTCATGCACTCTAAGCTTGTTAATGGTGTAAAGATGTAACACTTTGTAATTTGATATTGGAATCATGCCAACTGGATAGAGATAATCAAGTTTTAAACAGTAAAGAAATATTTCTCTTGCATAAACTATGAATCTCTTAGGCTTGAGCTAGTATCCTTAAATTTGAAATGATTCAAGAAAAATTGGTTGGGAATTGGCTCCCTTTCACTATGCGACGTGTTGATCTAAACTGAATTCTTCACTTTATTATTATTTTTTCTCAAAAGTAACTTTTTTCAGCATTTTGACAGTAAGTGCAAACCATCATGGTGCCTGACCAACATCCCTGCTGAAATATGGAAATGAGGATAAAAGCCAATGGCTTGATTAACATTTATCAATTTTTTCATTAAGGTTTTTAATGTTTTTGATTTTTCTGATTGTCTGATGTCAGACGTTTTGGCCTGGTATTTTTCTGCCTGTCAATGTGTTAACAATATGGATGTGAATTTAATTACTTTAACTATGTTGACCTAATTCAAATTATGTTTTGAAGGTTTTAGTTGCTTAATTACTTAGTATATCTAGCGTAGTTTACCTTTTAAGATGCCTGCAAAGTCTATAAATATCTGTTTCCTATTTATGTTTAACTGTGTTATTCTCACAGCAATAGTATTGTGATTGCTACAACTGCGCTCCTAATTTCAACAAGACAGCAGATGTCTATGCCATGATCAAATGAGTCACATCTTGCAATAGTTTTCTTTGCATCTTCTATTTATGTCTGCCAAATCCATAAAAATTATTCATCATCATCTGTTTCTTCTTTGGCAGCTGAGAAAGCACACTATGCTGGTAGGGATCCCATCTCTGCACTGAAGAAATACATGATTGAGAACAAACTAGCCACTGAACAGGAATTGAAAACCATAGAGAAGAAGATTGATGAGGTTGTTGAGGACTCTGTTGAGTTTGCAGATGAAAGTCCTCTTCCACCCCGCAGCCAGCTTCTGGAGAATGTCTTTGCCGATCCAAAGGGTTTTGGAATTGGACCTGATGGCAGGTACAGATGTGAGGACCCAAAATTCACTCAAGGCACTGCTCATGTCTAATCTTAAGTCTGACTCTCATTCATATAGTTACTAGAGGATTTGTTCTATAGGTTGTTTTTGTTTTTCCTTCTCTTATATTTATCATTTTTCATAGAACTAGTGTCAACAGTGCAATCCCCAAAAGTTGATTGCCTTGTTTTTACAGATTTCATTTTATAGCCTATATTGACTGTAAAATTTAATCCTGCTTTTTGCTCGAGTTTTTGCAAATATGATAACCATCCATGTTGTAGTGGACTTCCCTAATATTTTTCAGACGAGGGATCTTGGGAATTCCAACACTATGGCATGATAATTAGTAATTCTTCACTGCATTTCTTATAACACCCTTGCAAACTACACCAATCTCAACCAGCATAGATATCCTTATATAATCGACAAATTAGAATTGCGTAGAGGATTCCGTAGATTTGCTCGTGATAAATTCCTTCCAAATAACTGAATTTATTTTTAATGCTTGCAAAGCAAAGTATCGTTTTCTTACAAATTGCTGTGTTATATTTCATATAAAAGAATAATTTTCAAGCGGGATTAATTAAATTCATATGTATCAGCGTGTAATTAAAAGTTTGTGCACCAACTCAGTCGTAAAAGTATTTAAACAATTTTTTTTATGTGTATTTAAGAATTTAATAAATTGTAAATATTAATTAAAAATTAAAGCATATGATGTTTATTAATATATTACATTTTGTAATATCTAATATTTTTTTATTAAAATTTATTTCTATTGTGCGTTTTTAAATATGCATCATGAAATGGATATTTAAATAAGTAACCCAATAGTGTATATTTTCTCCTTTAACCCATGCAGGGCATTCATGAGGCAAAACCCTTCTTGAATCCTAATGGTGGCACTAGGCATAATATAAGCGAAATCCCGGATATGCTTGCAGAAAATATCAGAAGTTGATCCTTTCGGCGTTGCCAGCACTATTGTTTTAAATAAGAATGCATGACAGTTTGGAAGTAAAAACACTGAAAGAACCTCACCAAACATCGACCTTCATTGATTTGGAACATGAACTCAGACTCAAAATGGTTTACACAAAATAAAAAATAAAAAATTCAAAATTGGAAAGCGGGTAACGAAGAACAATGACCGTTTCACACAAGATGCTCTGTATATAACCATTGTCTGTCCTAGGTAGCAAATCTGAATAGAGCTGTGTATTCTTTCGTTTTTGAAGCTAGTAATCCAAAAACCACAATAGTAACACCAAAACTACTAACAAGACGGGTGAAGCTGTAATACTTATCCAATGAAAATTAAAAAGAAAAAAAATAGAAAGATCAAAAGAATGTTGGTAGACGGATATTACAACTTCAGAGCAGCTATTGCTTCTGGTTTAAAATCAACTCGCAAACCCAATACCCGCCTAACCTCTGCTGGAGTTAATCTCCAGGTCATAGGTCCAGAGTTCTCACCCCAGAAATCTAGAATCTCAGACACCTTTTCTAAATTTAAAATCGTTGCCATTTGAGTAAGACGTGCAAACTTGTCTCTAACAGTTCTCTGTGTCATGATGCTGAAATGGCTTACCAAAGCTCTAGCATCTCTGTCAAGCTGAAGCCCACCAAGCTGACTAAATCTTTTTTGCATCATAATCACTTCTAGCCTCTTCACAATGAAGTCAATAATCAAATGAACAAATGTGTCGTAATTGTTAGCAGTCATTAGTGGCTGCAGCCATGCCACATTTGTCTCAACAGCGTGGAGAAGTCTTTGAACCCATGGATCATTTACCTCATTATCTGCATACTCAGCCTCTGAAAGCTCATAGCTGATTGTTCCTACACTGTCTAATACTGGTCGTATTCTTGGTGTTATGGTTGCCACAAGTTGTTCTATGCCAGCATTCAAAGCTTGCTTGAAAGCATTGCTGCTATCTGCCAACTCAGTCAAACAAGATTTTACCTTTTCCCGATCACCTGGCGCAGGAAACACCTGTAAAGTAATTCATTCAGTTACTTCTGCAATTTCCAAATTATATATATATACACACACACACACACACAGAGGCAGGGTAAAGTGCCATAAATAAAAACATGACCTATATAGTTTTCACATCCACACACGACAAACCAACAAAGAGCTATGTAATTGAGTAACACTTCATAAGCTCTTAACTCTGTTCCAGCTACATTCTTAAAAGTCAAGGAGGTGCAGTTTGTGAAGCTAAGGACAAATATGTTCATAGTCAATTAGCAAAATTGCAACACTGAAGAAGCACCCACAGTGCAAGAAAAAGAATCCTTCCCAATCCAATCAAAACTTCCAAGATTACATCAATCTCTATAAGTACCAAAGAAACACAGTTGCTATATGGATTCATGGAACTATATAGATTTTATGATGAGATAAATCAGACTTTTCTCTGGGGTCATCACCAGGATTATTAAAATTGACCTTTTGAAAGAATCATGTAAGTACATGGTTCATAAAGTGAAATTTCAATACCACATTACTACGATTTCTAAAGCATACTTGGGAGTATATTCCTCTAATCAATCATCTTCATATTTTCAAAACAATATCAGCCAAGGACTGTAACAAGTTTAGCCGTGGATTTATCACAACATTCAGGAGACATTGACAACCTCGATCTGTGATTCTGAAGTAGCCAGAATGTGAATCTTGAAATTGTTTTGTTCTACACTTCTATCTTTATTTATCCAAGACTTATTTATGCATATCATGTAAAACTCTAATCCATGTCACTACAATTTTAGAACTACATCCCGTGCAAATGAAATGATAAAGAAATTCCATGCACCTGGTTATGCCAAAAAAAATAGCCCCATCGGTTGTCATAATGATTTTTATTAAAGAATCAAATTCTTTTATGATTAATTCCTATACTAGGAATCTCAAATTCTCTTATAATGGAACACCAAATGCAATGGTGGACCAAACACACTACTTTAATGAATTTCATTGTGCATGCAGTATAATTGTAAGGTACTAAAATCATATGCCACCCACCTCAGCACAATGTTCTTCAATTTCATGTTTCAGCTTCAGGACATACTCACTGCTAACATCCATATTATTCAAAGCTGTTGCAATTTCTGTCCCCGTCTTGTGCACGCCAACACCGCCAAAGAACAACTTTGCACCAAGGTTAGGTTCTCGTATCTTGTGCTGCAAGGCTTCATGATATTCATTGCTCAGCAAGCTACTAGCCCCACTCAAAACCGCGACAACAGAACTAATATTGGAAGTGGATATAGCCCTCCGCAAGCAGCTCTGCAAGACATAGAACACATCATCCACCATAGAAGTGGTGAGGCTGTCAGGCACCTGTTCATCAATCCTTATCGCCTTCCTAACATTCTCCACCATGAAGAAACCCTCCAAAATGACATAAAAGCCTGTCAAATCCTGAGCAACCTTGCTGAAACTGCCACTCCGGAATGCCTTGGTGGCGCGAGGGAGCAATTCGGGGTCAACAGAAGTGAGCCCTTTGATCTTGGAAATCATGAAGTCAGTATAATCCTCACCCAGCTGCATAAGGGAGAGAATCTCCTCCAAATACAACTCAACCTCTCGCGGGTCAGGACCCTCAGGACCTGCTCCAACAGCAAGCAAATTGTTGTTGTGTGCATTAATCTCAGAAGACAACTTACCCAACTTCCTATACTCCATATACTTGTTCAAGATGACAGAACCGCGAGAATCACACTCCTCTTGAAGCTCACAAATGGCATACACAATTCCATCCTCGCCACAAAGACCACTCAAGATCTCACTGTTCTCCTCAATGGCCAACACAATGTCCTTAAACAAATTGGTCAAACAGCCAACAAAATTGACATTCCGCTGATCCATCAACTCCACCAATTGCTCAAACTCCATCCTCGATCTCATCCCAATAACCTTCTTCAGGTACCCAACGTAAACCTGCAAACCCTCTTCCTCGAGACCCAGGGGAGTGAACAGGCGAATGAACCTGAGAATGGCGGGGTGCTCGCGCTGATCCATGGCTGCGGAGAGCTTCTTCCTCACGATCCCTTCGAGTTGCTTCTTCGCGGCCAACAAGCGGTCCCTCTGAACCTGATCGGAACCAGAATCCTTGTACTGCGCGTCGATCTGGAGGAAGGTCTGGACATAGCGCGCGGCGGATTCGTAGTCCTCGGCGTCGAGGGCTCGGTGCACGCCTTCCAGGGAATTGGCGCGGTCAACGATGGCGTCAATGCGGAGGAGCGTGGAGCGGACGCGCGACTGAGCAAGGTCTAGCTCGCGGACCTTGCGGCTGACCTGGTCGGCGAGGTGGCAAGTGGAGGTGACGTTGGCGAGCATGTAGTCGGAGTCGGAGTTGACGATGTCGAGAACCTCCGAGGAGCGCTGGAGTTGGAGGAGGTGGCGGTCGAGGTCGCTTCGCTGGGACAAGAGGTCGTCGAGTTCATCGTCAAGTGCTCTCTGGTGAGCTATGCACTCGTGAAGCAGACGCGTCATCGCCCCAACGTCCGTCAGAGAACGCACGTACTCCACCGCCTCCGCCGTCCCGAAATCTATTGACGACGATACACTGCCGTTTTCTTGATCCGCTCCTGTCCCATTCGCCTGAGTAATTGTCCCCATTTCTTCTCACACCATCACATTCAGATTGACGTTCAGATCAGATCTGAAATGAGCAAAAACGATACCAAGAAGAAGATGATGAAGAAACCGACGTTTTATTTACACTCCATTGTTTTTAGATAATTTCATTTGATACCCTAAATTACACGGCAAGCAGCCAAGCATTGCATAAAATAGATGTTTTCGAGCTTTTGTTTTTCAACTAGTAAGTCATATTACGATCAAATAATAAACTTAAGTTCATCTTATAAATAAATTGAATAATTTACTCATGTACAAATTATATACATATTTTAAAATAAAATCTTACATCAATAAAAAAATGATAATAAACATAGTATATAACTTTATTATATATAAAAAGTATTATTGTGAATCTTGCAAGAAATAAGTACGTAAATTAAAATTAATTTTTTCAATTTTAGCTTCACTCTTATTCCAAAAAAAAATAAATTATATATTTTTAAATAAAATCATATAATTTTAAAATATTAGATACCCATTTATTATAATTTTTAAAAACTTTGTCTGAAGAGTATATTATTGTTATTATTATTATTAGGATTTTTAATTTTTGTTTACTTTATATTAAAAATTATAAAATACAATTGATCATGATTAAACATAAATTTAAGTAAATATATTTTAATAGTGATTAACAATTGACTCTCAAATTTATTAATTTTCATAACATATAATTATTATAAAAAAATTATTAGTTTAAAAATCATGATAATTAAAATAAAAATAAGTCAAATTACTAATTTTTTTAATAACATAATTTACTAGCCTTATCACAATAAATCTATTATTAATTATAAAAAATAAATTAAAATAAAAAAATTAATTATTTTTTAAATTTGCAAAATGAGATTTAAAATAAAATTTATAAAATTTATATTACAATAAAAATATGTTAATCATCTAAGAAATTTACGATGTGTTTAAATCGCTTATTATGAATACACACTTTTTTTTTTTTTTTTTCTATTTTGTTATACAAAATTATAAAATTTGAAAATAAATATTGTTAAAAGATTAGTAAAAAAAAATCCGAAATAACGTTTAAGTCTTTAATAGTCATTTATCAGATAAAAAGAAAAAAACTTTACACAATAAAATTATATTATTAGTTCTATGTCATTTATCACATAAATTAATCTTTTAAATACATCTTGATTCACATGAAAATGATATAAATACCATCTTATTCTCACTTGTGGATCTCATGACAGTCTCAAGGAGCCAGATTTTGAGAATTATAATTCAATTATTATTGTTATATAGAGTCTATGATAAATTGTTATACTTTTTCTTATGACTTAATCATTATCGAAAGGAACATGTTTGTTCATCATCAACATTTAGTGTCCACAGTCTGCCATTTAGTATGATTATTTGTTCATGAGTTCTTACTATTTGTGTGGCATGCAGCTGTACCAAATTTTGTACTATCTAAAGGTATAATGAATAATGCTGTCAAAAGCTTGCAGTCCAGTGCAGAGATAGAAACAAAGTTTTAAATCATCTTCACATGAGCTAAAAATGTTATGTTCCATGAAAATATAATATTTTTTTCTTCTTTGTTGTTCTTTTCCATTAGAAGATAAACGTTTTTTCTTTTGTTTCAAAATCAGATTTATTAGAACATTTTTAGTCCTTCTTTGTTACTGTCATTAACTCCCAATCAACAAGTTAATAAAAGACTGAAGCACTTAAGGGTATTTTTATAGTTGGTGAAGTCTCAAGGACATGACTTTGAATATTATATCTCCTAAAAAGTTGTAGTGCATTGTATATCGTCCTTGTCACGATGAATACAAAGGGTAACACGGGCTCATGACAAAATTGGGAACCGAAAGAGAGGTGTAGTTGATTCAAAACCTCATTATACATGCAAAAGGCTTGAGAGCTTAGTTTGTGAATTTTGGTTCATCATATTATTCTATCACAATCGAGATAACAATAACTGAGTTTAGTGAAAAAAATCACTGTATTGATAGTAACTGAGTAATGTGTATGCGTATTATTTATGTTCATGTAGTTAATAGATGAGAAAACTTACTGCATTAAACTTTTGTTTAGTTCTATTATAAAGATTAATAAAACGATAAAAAACAGAGGAGTAACATAATATAATACTGATAGAGAATAATTCTCTCTCTCAATATATGATGAAAACAATGATACACTATATATATACAATTGATCATAATTAGGATAGGATCAAAATAGTACTAATTTCTCTACAATAAAGAATATTTATAACCTATAATTACAACTCACTATTTCTAAAAACTACCATAGAATTTTAATAGCTATTTATTTACAAATCAACATCTGATTGGGCCAAGGAATCATGGGTCCTGTAAAATTGCTTTGGGCTTATTTCTGTTAACCCCCCACAAGCTGGAGGTGGGTAGTATTCTACTAATTCCAGCTTGGATACATTAGAGCAAAAAGATTGAGGAGGCAAAGCTTTAGTGAACATGTCCGCAAGTTGATGACAAGAAAGGATAAGAAGCAGCTTCATCAAACCGGCTTGAAGCTTCTCACAGACAATGTGACAGTCGATTTCCAAGTGCTTTGTGCGTTCATGAAAAACTGGGTTTGCAGCGATATGGAGAGCACTTTGATTATCACAATATAATACTGCAGACTTGAAGCAATTAACTTGTAAATTAGTGAGCAAATATGACAGTCATTGCAACTCACAAGTGCTAGTGGCTAGAGCTCTATACTCTGCTTCCGAGGATGATCGAGACATTGTGCTTTGTTTCTTGACTTTTCATGATACCAAGGAATTCCCAAGGAAGAAATAGTATCATGTAATCGAGCGTCTAGTGTCAACACAAGTTGCCCAATCGGCATCACTAAAACCAATGAGATGGAGTAATGAATCTCTTTTGAATAAAAGACCTTTGTTCAGGCAACTCTTAAGATATCTTAAAACTCTTCTAGCAGCACCAAGATGTGACTTTGTTGGACAAGTCATGAATTGGCTAAGTTGTTGAGTTGCAAATGCTATATTTTGCCTTGTTGTGGTGAGATAAATTAAACGACCAACAAGTTGTCTGTACTGCATCGAATCATCAAGTAATGCGCTATAATCTTCTTGACGAAGTCTTAATGAGCTATCCATAGGTGTAGTACTTGGCTTACACCCCAGCATTCCAGAATCAACAAGTAATTCAAGACAATACTTTTGTTATGAAACATAAATTCCCTCATCAGAATGATTCACTTCCAGACCAAGAAAATATTTAAACTTTCCTAAATCTCTCACACGAAAATTGGAATGAAGAATATGTTTAATTTGGCCTATTTCAGAATTTGAGTTTCTGGTAATTACTATGTCATCCACATAGATCAATAATGTTGTAAACTTACCACTATTGTGTTTCACAAACAAACTGTGGTCTGCATGAGCTTGTTTAAAACTAGAAAAAATTAATAGTTTAGAGAGTTTCTCATACCATTTGCTGCTGACTTGTGATAAATACTCTAAAGACTTAATCCTATATTATGATAATTGAGAGTTTTTAAGCTATTCATTGATTGATATTATAATTAATCTCATTTTATTTATGTTTCAGGAAAAAGGATCAAGGATATGAAACCTCAAAGATGTCGAGAATTGAAGAAAGAAAAACCCAGAGATATACACGGGCAGATACACGCCCATGTATATGGTTGTGTATCTCACTGGAATGCAAAGAACAAGGAAATATTCAGCCAGAGATATACATGGGCAGATACACGCCCGTGTATATGAGCGTGTACATCATTGGTGTTGTTAAGGAATGCATCATTTAGGCCAGAGATATACACGGTCAAGGTGCATGACCATGTATACAAGCGTGTACATCATATAAAGATTTTGAAGGCCAAGTATCACAGACCAGAAATGTACACGGCCGTGTACATGAGCGAGTACATGTCAGGAAAGATTTGAAGGACGCCTATTAGAAAACAAAGAAGTACACGGCCAAAGTACATGGCCATGTACTTGGGCGTGTACTTTTACGCGCGTCAGAAATTTAACTTTTGCGAGAATCCTAGGACAATTCCTATAAAAGGAGAACTGGTCTTAAACCTGGGAACGCAGTTTTTTGGAGACAAAAGACTCAGAGACGGCAGGAGGATAGGATTAAGCGTTTTAATTCATATCTTTTGTAATTTTAGTTTCAGGATGTTTAGGTTCTAACTTTCCTTTGAGTATCTAGACGTAATGAATCCTAATTGACTAAATTTTCTAGAATTCTTCTAATGCTATTTCATGTTCCTTTCTCTTAGGTTTAATTGAGTAGTATCAATTTTCTTCTATCTTGTTTTCTTGTTTGAATTTGAGTAAAATTCTTGCATGAATTTAACATTGCTTAATTAAAAAGACTTGAATGTATTTCTAGAGATAGAAAGACATGAGTTTTCTGTATTAGGATTAATCCTAATTATGGAATTCATAATGAACTTAATGCAACCTAGGGGTATTAATTAAGGAAGAAATTCTGATTGATCAACTGAGGGTTAGGAATTATTATCCTTGAGAAAGGTATTGATTTAATTTATAATTTCCTGCAGCGATAAGGGTTTAGAACTAAGTAGTTGAAGAAGAATTTCAGTTATTTGGATATTTAGGAGGATTTACAGTCTAGATACTTGCCTTTTTTCCTTTGAATACCTTTAGTTATAATTTTCTATAATTTATTTTCACAAGAATATTTGTTTCTTTTAAATTATTATTCTTTTACTTTTACCAATTTCATCAACAAAGTTTATTTTTCATATTTATTAACAATTACGCAATTAAAGAAAAATTTCTTAATAACAGTCCCTGTGGATACGACACTTTGTACTTTAATTTTAATAATATTACTCCGACAACGGGTATACTTGTCCAGTAATTCAATTTTTACACATCAAGTTTTTGGCGCCGTTGCCGGGGACTGTTTAATTA